AACAAACTCTAAAAAGCAACCAAAGTACAGAGATATGAAGTTGAACTTGAGAGAATGTAGTTTCTTCATCTCAGCTATCAAAAACTAAGATCAAACATGGATTTCCAGTTGACAAATGAAACTGAGACAAAGTTCCCCAAACAAAACCTTAGATACTTGTTACATAACTAACTCATTTTTTCTTTAATAAATGAGGCTTTGTGTATGTATATATATATATATATATATTTTTTTTTTTTTTTTTTAATCCATAAAATGATACCAAATTTTATGCATAAAACATATGACAGGTTAAATCCATACTTTGATCAGTTACTCGCTGACTTCCACGAATAGCTTTGACAGCATCCTTCAAAGCTCTCTCACTGAGCTGGAGGTTCTTGAACAACTGCTCCCCAAACCTTTTATCTGAAAGAAATGCTAGAACAAGGTGCTCTACTGAAACAAAATCATCACCCATTTCCTTCTTATGTTTTCGAGCATTGTCCAAGAGGATGCTAAGATATGACCCTAATCCAGGACCACTGGTGTCACCTGTGATCTGAATTGAGAAGACAAATTGTCATATTATCCAAATAATCATCTGTAAACAAGAGCAAAAAGACACATACATTGGACTGCTTTGATATAAAGTCATCTGTTGCCTGCAGAACCGTTGTGTTGTCAAGCCCTGCCTTTGTGAATATTCTTCTAGCCAATCCATCCTTTTGCTCCAAAAGGGCTTTCATTAAATGTTCAGATTCTACAATTTGCTGTCTGTTCATCATTGCTGCCTGAACAGCCGCATTAATGCCCTCCCATGCCATCTCAGTGTACTCTGACAGATGATCCTAATAAGAACAAAAATGTCAATAACACAATAAAATAAATACAGGCAGCAAAGTAGCTTTTAACTGCAAATTAACAACGACTAGAGTTGCCACAGTTTAACCCAATGTTACTAGTCTCAGACCCTGCATTTATTTCTGATGTTGTCCAGCATCAAATTTAAGCCTAATTTCCTTATTCAGATCATTTAATCAAGAATGTTTAAAAAATGACCAAACGCTTCCAAATGCATAACTGAATTTTCCCATGGATTAGACATTCACTAGTTTTAGTTCCAGACACAACATTTTCAGCAGGTTGAGACAAATAAACCAGAAGAACAATATTCTTCCCTTCCTACTGATGTCAATAATTAAAAAGAAAATTACTAAACACAGATTTCAAAACATTAAGCTCAAAATGTACAAAAACTAATCCAGCAATTAAAATTGATTACCAAAAAAGGAAGAAAAATAATGAAAAGCTAATTATTTAACCACAAATCAAACACAACAACTTTAATAAAAAAAATTAATAAGTTGAAGTATCAATATGATTCAACAACCTGTGAGGCACCAGCTGCGAAGGAAAAACGAGGAGGGGAAGAGTGAAAGCTGCGATAGAGAACGGTTGAGTGAGGTGCGGCATTGTTCTCTGCAATTCGGTCGAAAAACGGAGGCCGAAGCACAGAATTGACGGCGGAATTGTTCAAAGCATGAGCCAAGCCACAGATTGCTCGGGCACGATGGAGAGAGAGCCTCGACGCTCCTCTTGAGGCTCTAATGGCATTCAAGGCGGACCTCGATAGCCGTCTTGAGGCCATTGCGGAGACGAAAATTGCAGAGAGAGCGCGGAGGAGAAGGGTTTTCTTGAAAGCTTGGAGAAGCGGCAAAGTGAAGGTCGTAGAAGGTAGTTTTGTTTAATATGGAAAGAGAAGATTGTAGAAGCGTCAAGAAGAAATCCTGGTATGGACTGGGCTGTGTTGCAAGTTGCAGAGAGAACAGGCCGAGAAGAGAAGAATGACCCAAAAAA